GTTTGGCCCGCCAAGGGACCGGGATCGGACTAGTCCCTTGGCGGGCCAAACGGGCCCAACGGTAATTTTTTTTTAAAAAAAGTAGTCGTTTGGCTATTTAAAAAAATAGTCGTTGGCCTTTAAAAAATAATCGTTGGCTATTTAGAAAATATCCATTTAGCCCCAAACTTTTTATAATTATACCTTTTCCCTATTTTCAACTATAAATGTCCCCTCATTCTTTCATTTTTCTTATAAAATCAATATCAATCTATCACAATCTCTCTCTAATTTTCTTCTATACTTGCTACTATTGCTTACTTTATTCCAAAAAATAGTAAAAAAAATATTGAGGTTGTTACAATTTGTGAAAAATTTGTGAAGTTGGTGAATTGAAGTCTTCAAAGTCTTCAACGATAATCAATTTTTAACAAGTTATTCGTTAATTCGGTAAACTCGTTCCAACTCTTAAGTCTTAATATTATAGTTTTTGTTTTTTTTTATTTGCTATTACTTGATTAATTAAGATGTCTTCCTTAAAAAATATTTTTGGTAAGAGATACCATGTAACTTGTATGATCAAAAATTAGTGTGTATTATGTAACTTGTATTTTGGCACATCTTGATTAGTTTCTTTTTGTTCTCAATGGTGGTATTAACACCTTGTTGTGCTCATTCCATAGGGGGGAGGGAGATTAAGAAAGATATTGCCATATTTTTTTAATGCTATAATAACATTACAAGGTATTGCTTTAAATATCTCTTTACAATATTTTTGTCTTTAAATTTGAATTAAAACATTTAGGTCACGATTCTATAATAAATTTACAAGGCATTGCCTTAAATATTTTTTTAACATCTTTTTGTCTATAATTTATATTTAATTTATTTTTTTTAAAAATAATTTTTAGCCGCTGGTCCCACTTAGCCAGCGGGCTGGCCCGTTTAGCCCGAAACCATGAGTTCGTGGGCCCGGTCCCAGGCCGGTTCTTACAAAAAGACTGTTTAGCCCGGAACCGCTAAGCCCGTTTATTTAAGGCCCGGTCCGGGACCGGGACCGCGGCCCACGAGACCGGACCACATGACACCCCTAATATAGAGTTCGATCGACTAACTTAAGAGTGCACAATGTGTAGGCATTTAATTAAAGTAAAGTTGAATTAGACAATATAAAGTTCCCGAGGAACTTCAACTTCAATCACTAATACTTGCAAAGTCTTCATACATTTGGTGCAATGAATTCATTAAAATTGGGATGTTGTAAATTCTTTTAGAATTTAGAAAAGCTACCTAATTTAGATTTTTCAATTTACTATACTTTGTTTATTCGGTTATATTATTTAATATTTTTTTCTCTAATTTAAATGCCAATTATTTTAAAAATAGTGGATCAAGAAGAATAACGAGTGATTTAAATAAAAGAAATTTGGGAGATTTTGGATTACTTAACAGATCAATGAGTATTTTTAAAAGTTTGTTGATTGTAGGGATAAATTTGATCCGATAATATAAGAAAAGTTAAATATAGACGATATATGAAAGTAGAGAGTTATATTTGTCACTTTTCCCAATAAATTAACTATAGCTAAGTGGTAAAATGCGGGTTCAAAAAATATAGCATTCTTAGCCGTGAGTATGAATTCAGTCTTTGTTATCAAGCACTCTATCCTAATATGGGATTTTTTAGGGCCTAATCAGAATTTGATGGAACCGCAATACAGATACGGGATATCCAATAGGAAAAAAAGAAGGTATAAAGTCAGCTGAGCTCAGTTTCTTAAAAAGCTTAACAGACAACATTAACAATGTCCTTGAATTTTGTCAACAAACCGCGACCAAGCAGGAGGAGCCAAGTGTAGCACAATGTCACCAATTACACACGAAGATGATGGAGAAGAACAAGCCCTAATCCATCACTATCACAATCACGTGCTCTCTCCCTCCCTCCCTCTCTCTCTTTCTCTCTCTCCACACACACACACACACAATACAAACAAAGAAATTCAGGCGTCGCTTATGTCACCGTCATTCACTGCGCCGTTGCCAACAATTTCAGTCGTTTTAAGAGTTTTCCCTGGACTTTTTACTTGGTTTGTTCCCTTACTTTGTTGATATGTAATTGTTGTTCCTACCATTTTTGGAGATCGATGCACTTAGCAAAAGATAGGATATAAATTATAATGGAAGAAAAAGATCTTGACAGGCAATATGTCTTACCATTTTAGACATGTTACCACTTTTACTGTAGGTTTTATGCTTTCTAGAAGTGGTTTAGCCTTTATATAGAGAACTTCTAATACTTTTTATTTGTCTTTGCATAATATTGTGAGGATTCATGAAAGATACTGTGAGGATAATTAAAATAATGAATGGAAAAAGAGAAACTGATTTAGTTCCCATTATTTAATTAAGAAATCAAGATTATTTTTCATTTGTGCTTGAGGAAAATTTTGTTGCCGCATTGTGAATACCTCATCGAGAAAAGAAAAACCCCCTCTTTTGTCGGGAGCTTAGTAAAATAAAAAGCTTCATTGAGCTTTAGTGAATTGCAAATGACACTTGGTGTCAATGTGGCCGAATCAGGATTTGAAGCTTGTGGGTTCAGAATTTTAATCTTTTTAAGCTACTGGGTTCTAAAGTTAATAATTTATATATATTCAATGGGTTTCTTAAAATAAATACAAAGTTTGGACCTACTGGGTTCTAAAGTTAATAATTTATATATATTCAATGGATTTCTCAAAATAAATACAAAGCTTAGACCAAAGCTACTGGGTTCAGCCGAACCTACAACCGAAAGGCTAGCTCCGCCTCTGGGCGGGCGATGTTGTTTTGTCTATTCCTGAATATTAAGAAGTTTCATTTTGAGAGAAACTGGATAGTGCTGAAAGAGTGTGCTTATGAACAAATGGATTCACCTCTTCTTGCTCTATATATCCTGGTTGTCCCTCGTGCCTTTTCCACAAGGGTTGACATGATCTCCAAGAATCTTCTGCCAACCTCATTTGGCTCTTCTCATCAAATCTCGAGAAGTTTACTTATTGGTGTTTCAGTTGATTACTCTGGGATATCTTTTTCTTGTGTATCATGTTCATTTTTCTATTACAAAGGGTTTTTCAGTTTGCCATTAGAGGCTTTGAGTTATTCCGGGTAGTTTACCTTTTGATGCTTGCAATCACTGAATGTGTAAATCTTTTATCTTAGTTCTGCTCTTTCAGTTTTGTCCAAATTAATTCCAAATTAGCAGTGCTTTGTAATCATTGTATCGTAGATATGATAGTTTTTCAGGTGCTTACCTTTTGCTCTTGTACCTATGCTTTAATCGGTGACAGCTTATTTTGCACATTTTGATAAAAATGTCTTCTTAGATAGTTGTTTGTAGCTGCTCATAGGTGCAAAATGCATCTTGTGGCGGGAGGGGGGTTGCAGTCTCTTGGATAACGTCTTTCTTTCTCTTTGGTAGTTCTTTACTTTCATCTAACTTGGAGTATTTGACCCAAATGGCAGGTAAATAGATGTATCAAGGTAATCCTGATCGTGAGCAACATAATGCGGAGAAACCACCTCCCTCTTCTGCAGGTGGGGCCCAGGAGACAATCATTGTGGTTGGACAAGAGGGACAAGTTAAACAACCTCAATTAGAAAGGAGAAAAGGGAAGTTGGCCTCAAAGGTGGATAATATTTCTCTTTTACTTTTGCTATGCTTTTATCTTAACTTACTCTGATAGGGCATGTGGTACAAGTAAAGTATTGCGCTGTCTATTGGAGGTCAACAAATCGCTTATCCTAGCAAAATATGACAAATTTCAAGCAAACAACATAACTGCTGCAAGCCCACGTTGCACCATCACCAATCATGTGGCAATGTAGTAGCAAAACACTTCCTCGTTTTATTTTGCCTTTTCCATATGAAGGAAATATATATAACCTGAGTTGAGAAAATTTGGAACCAAACACATGTTCTGGAACATGAACTTGAGAAATTAAAACTTTTAAATTTGTAAATTCTACTAGAAAAGAAGACAATGGAGACTTTTCAGTTAACTGAACAGTAACATGTAATATGTGCTCCACAATTTTCAGGCTATGTGATTACTATTGCAACTTTTGAGTCACAATGTACCCGAAGCTTGAAGTTTTCTTTGTTTGAAATCTCCTTATTTGGATTGATTGGACGAATAACGCTCTACACAAGGGAATGTTCTAGCATTTGGCTGCTGTAATATCTGCTTAACTTATATAGGAATCAATATATTACTTTAGGATAGAGTGTGGAATGAGAATACTTGTATTGATAGTCCCATAAATTCGTATTCTTATCATTGTGGGCAAGGGGATAGAAGTAAAGGGGAATCCCCATCATTCGAGCATTAATCTACCTACTGATTGTGTCATTTGAGCATTAATCTACCTACTGATTGTGTAGGAAGTCAGCTCAGCTCTTATACTTGACCTTGCAGTTCCCTTTGGTGAATATTTCCAGAAATCTACTATTGGCGTACCAGAGTCTTGGGGTGGTGTATGGAGATTTGAGCATTTCGCCACTTTATGTCTATAGGAGTATATTTGCAGGGAAGTTGCAGGATTATCAGACTCAAGAAGCAATATTTGGTGCATTTTCATTGATATTCTGGACAATAACTCTCATTCCTTTGCTCAAATATGTATTTGTGGTATTGAGCGCTGATGATAATGGTGAAGGTATGTTAAAGAGAAGGCCCTGAATGCATTAATACTTGTGGAACCTGATTGTGTTGATCAATTATACTTGAATACCAGGTGGTACATTTGCTCTTTACTCTCTGCTCTGTAGACATGCAAAATTCAGTCTACTTCCCAACCAACAAGCAGCTGACGAGGAGCTATCTGCTTACAAATATGGCTTCGCTGGGCAGTCGACATCGTCTTTAGCGTTAAAGAGATTTCTTGAGAAACACAAGAAATCACGTACAATTTTACTCATTGTTGTATTAGTGGGGGCTTGCATGGTTATTGGTGACGGTATTCTTACACCTGCAATGTCAGGTTGATAATTCTAACAGTATTTGCTTTTCTTTTATGTGGTATTATCTAGTGTACATTTGTAACTCGGAAGCTATTAGTTTATCCAAAAAAAGAAACTGGTTTATGAATTGATTACTTCCTTGGTTGGAGAATGATAGATAACATAAAATTTTTTGCATGAGATATTCAGCACCTTGCTATGCCTATGCTAGTGCAGAAATGCAATCAGAATTTTTGCATTATTACATGCTTGAAATCCTGTAAATTCAGTCGAATTTAGTGTATTTATTAATTGGAATCATTTTACTGTGGCAGTTATATCATCCATGTCAGGAATCAAGGCTGCAGCGGAACACCTATCTCACGGTAGATTTACTATTTTACTACTTTTAATAGCTCCCGTGTGACCTCAGTCCAAGGCATTGATCATTAAATTATCTTTCATCATAGGTGAAGTGCTGTTGCTTTCTTGCCTGATATTGGTTGGTCTGTTTGCTCTACAGCATTCTGGGACCCATAGGGTCGGCTTTTTGTTTGCACCTATAGTTATCATTTGGTTGATATCAATATTTGGGATTGGGCTCTACAACATTATATTTTGGAATCCCAAGATTGTGTCTGGTCTTTCTCCCTACTATATCATCAAGTTTTTTAGGGAAACAAGAAAACATGGTTGGATGTCTCTTGGAGGTGTCCTCCTTTCTGTTGCAGGTACACCAAATATATTAGCTACACATTTTGCTCTTTATCCAAGAAAAAAAGTAGTCTTTAAATTCAGAGCATTGTTTGTGCCAATACTTACTAGTTTGTGAAAGAAGGATTAGACAACATGTCCTTCAGAATTTGAATCTTGTTTCTAATTCATTTTCCATCAGCAGGTACCGAAGCTATGTTTGCAGATCTTGGCCATTTCACTGCGTGCTCAATGAGGGTAAGTCAACCTATGCGCAACTTCAGCAAAATCTTGCACGGCCGCAAATGCGGTACCAAATCGAGGCTTTTTCTTTATTTAACCCACCATATGTGTCTGTGGAAAACCCTGTGCACTAGGGAAAAAATAATTGGGCTGGGAAGCAACAGGCAAGTATATGTTTCAGGTTGCATTTAAATATTGAATATATAAGTCCTTAACAAATTAAAAATGTAAAAGATCCAATTGTAGCAAACAAACAAGTTTTACAAGGGTTAACATAATGAATTTATTTTAATCAGAGAGGGACTTCAGTTGTTTGCCCAAACATTAATAAAATCTTAGAGAGGGACTTCAGATGACATCTAAGTTGAGAGAAATTTGAACCATTTGAAGTAGCTTTTTGGGCCTAAGATTGGAAATAATTTTGAAAGAAACAATATAAATAGCATATGCAAATGCAGCCAAAATGGTCATATTCTATGAATTGGGTCTCTAAGCTGATTATCCTTGTGGCTGGGCATATTATATTGCCTTTAGTGGTCGTTTCTCTCTGCGTCATATCATTCAATATAGTAATTGATTAGTTTTATTTCTAGAACTTGCACCATGTCAATCTGAAAGTTATATTCTCCCATGCAGATTGCCTTTTCATTTCTTGTGTACCCTTGCTTGGTGGTACAGTATATGGGTCAAGCCGCTTTTCTTTCCAAAAATATTGCTTCTATCCCGAATAGCTTCTATAATTCAATACCTGGTTAGTCCTTTATTTCACTTTTAAATGAGACTGTTCTCGAGATTGTTGACGAAGTTATATTCAGTCATTCCCAACTGCTGCTCATTGCTTTCATGCAGATAGTGTATATTGGCCTGTTTTTGTCATTGCTACCCTTGCAAGCATTGTCGGTAGCCAGTCCATCATCACAGCTACATTCTCTATAGTCAAGCAATTGAATGCACTAGGTTGCTTCCCACGAGTCAAGATTGTCCACACCTCAAGGAATGTTAAGGGGCAGATCTATATACCAGAAATAAATTGGATCCTTATGATTCTTACGCTTTCCGTGGCTGTTGGTTTCCAGGACACAATTTTAATTGGAAATGCATATGGTAAGCCTAACAGTGTGTTGAAGATCTTTTTTTGTAATATTTAGATGCTCCCCTGACTGTAATTTTTTGTTTCTTGTTTGGAAAAAAAAAACATTTAGTTCCAAAACAAAGTAGATCTGATCGGTGGAAAGTAGAATTACAATCTCCATCATGTCTTCTCCCCAACTATTTCTATCATATTGCCTACAAAAGCAACTCAATTTGTTTCGCAAAGCGTAGCTAGTTCCATATCCCATGTAAAGGAGGAGGGTTGAGATAGTTTGATAGACAACGTGGAAATAGTCTAATTTTGATGAATCCTTTGAAATATATCGGACCTCTACTGCTTGCATTTTTTTGCTTGCATATCACAACTCAATTTTTGTGATTGCATTTTTCTACTATGCTTCTTAGCTCTACTTATGTACTCTTCTTTGCAAACCTTGTGATGGGGATTTATATGCCTCAGAAGGGAAAAAGGAGTCTCTTCTGAAAAAGAAAAGAACGATGATCTAAAACAAGAAGAGTTGAACAAGAAATGATCTCTAATTGCATGACCTGGAGAAAAGAATCTGCTTTCTTTTCCCAGAGAGTACTCTCTTTTGCTAAGTACCATGAGGCCATTGTAACTTCTTTTATGATGACGCTGAGTTACAATTTCTATTTCTGCAGAAATTACAGAAGAAATTTACTATTTATGTCCACAATTGAATCTTTGTTTTGATTTAGTCTTTTTATTACTCTTGGTTGTTTTTTCATATGAATTCTTTTTCTTTCAGGCCTAGCTTGCATGACAGGTATGTTTATCACAACATTTCTAATCACGTTGGTCATGATCTTTGTGTGGCAAAGAAACATAGCACTTGCCACTTGCTTTCTCCTGTTCTTCTGGTTCATTGAAGGTGTATACCTGTCTTCCGCGTTCACCAAAATTCCACAGGGAGGATGGGTCTCCCTAGTGCTTGCCTTTGTCTTCTTGTTTGTCATGTTTGTCTGGCACTATGGAACTCGCAAGAAGTACAATTTTGATCTACACAACAAAGTTCCATTAAAATGGCTCCTTGGCATGGGCCCTAGTCTTGGTATTGTCCGTGTCCCCGGGATAGGCCTCGTATACTCAGAATTAGCAACAGGGGTCCCATCTATCTTCTCTCACTTTGTCACAAATCTCCCCGCATTCCACAGTGTGCTGGTGTTTTTATGCGTCAAATCTGTTCCCGTACCCTATGTCTCACCGGAGGAGCGCTTCCTCATTGGTCGCATTTGTCCAAGACCCTATCGCATGTATCGTTGCATTGTTAGGTATGGTTACAAGGACATACAGCGAGATGATGGGGACTTTGAGGACCTTCTCATCCAAAGTATAGCAGAGTTTATCCAAATGGAAGCTGTGGAACCACAGTGTTCAAGCTCTGAGACTCCATCATTTGATGGGAGGATGGCAGTTATAAGCAAGAAAACTGTACAGTCAACTTCAACATTAATTGTCTCAGAGGATTTTGGAATGAGTGACTCCATTCAAAGCAGCAAGTCTCTGACCCTCCAAAGTCTAAGATCTGCTTATGCTGATGAGAACCTGCAAATGAGGAGGCGGCGAGTGAGGTTTCAATTGCCAGAAAACCCTGGCATGGATCCAGCAGTCAGGGATGAGCTTCAAGATTTAATTCAAGCAAAGGAGGCAGGGGTTGCATATATAATGGGGCACTCCTATGTGAAAGCTAGGAGATCATCCTCTTTCTTGAAGAAGTTTGTTGTTGACATTGGGTATTCATTTCTGCGCAAGAACTGTAGGGGTCCTTCCGTGGTGCTTAACATTCCTCAGATTAGTCTTATTGAAGTTGGCATGATATACCATGTCTAGAGGGAGGATGACCTTGGCGTGCCTTTTGGCTGTTACCTGCAGAATGTTTAGGCTTAGTAGATGGTTGGTCGTCTTATAACTTCAAATGTGATCTCCCATAGTAAATGTTGAGGAGATGATGTTGGTAACCTTCTGACTTAAAATGTGATATCCAACATCAGATGTTGAGGAGCTGTTTTAGTTTTTCATGTTACCTTCTATAGTTTCTGCATATATAGAGATAATTTTATCTTAGCATACTGGGAATAGATAGGCATGCAAATGTGCTTTTTAAGAGCATTCTACATCAAGTGACAAACCTCAAAGTTCAATTAAGGAGAAAGGTACTGTTGAGTTAATTTTAACAACCAAATAAGCAATGTGAGTGAGGCTGCTGCCATAGCTTTTGTAGTTCTCTTGTTGCAAAATAGTTGTTCAAATTTTAGGTCCCAAATGCCCTTTCTATTAAACAAGAAAGTTAACATGGGTCAGAATGACAAGAAATTTACTTGTTTGACATTGTTTATTAAAATCAACTGGTATCAAGATATATCATGGCACTAAGGCAAGTCTTGCCTCTTAAGTTTGTAAATGACAGCCTAATTCTTAAGATCAATCAAATGGTAAAAGTTGTACTGTACTAGTTTCAAAGAATGTATTAGATTAGAAATTTCAAGGATTTCATTAATAAACAAATTTCAAGGTGAATCCTTTTTTGGTTATTTATAAGATTATTATTTTTTTAACTATGAAATAAAACCCATAGTATCTGCAGTTAATTAACACATTACGTATGTTTCGATGAGTCGGATCCTGTGTTTCTATTACAAACAAAAAAAAATAGTGGTTAAAAAATAATCTATTGCTTAAGACGAAGCAAATTCAGGATCATACGTTTACTAACACGTTACGTACATTACAGTGAGCACAAATGTAAGAAAAATCTGATTCAATTATCACAATGCATATAAAAAGTAGTATAATATTGCAAAACATGCTAGTCATTAATTAATTGTGTTAATCCAAAGACGACCCTCAAAATAGCAAACGGAGTTCAAGCAGCTAGTTAATCTTCCTCATTACATTATTCTCTTTTTTATGTATTAACAGAAGCTATATTATTATTTTAAGAAGGATATTGGCATGATATATTCAAGTAAATATGAATCACATCCAGCTATGGGCATGATTTCTAATAATCTGTCATAGATATCGTAAACATAGAAACCGCAATACAACCAATATAATTAAGTTGGCTATTTTCAATTACCATAGTCTACTGTAAAATTGCTACACTTTTAAGTAGGTGTAGCTCAAGGGGAGTTTAGTAAAGCTTTTGTTGTAGGCCTTTTGAGGCCCCAAAAATTTAAGGTAAATTTTATCATTTTATTTTTTCTTAGATAATTCTGAAATTTTATAGAAAAAAGGAAAAAAGAAAAAGTAAAAAATCTTTACAAAAAAAGAAAAACTGACTGACTTCCTACTTTTTAATAGTAGAGATACTTTGAATTAACCTACTCAAATCTTCATATTTTTTACAATAGTATCAAAGGTAATATATTGCAAAAACATGACTAACAATCTTATCAATTTAAGTTAAGAAACTAATCTCAAATGAAACAAAACAATGATATTGTTTCCATGAAATCTAAACACCATTTTGCTGTAGGTACTAGACAACAAAACAATCAGACACATCTCACCTTAACTAGAACTTACAAGTTCCAAATACTCAAAATCCCTAACATAATCAGACATTTTAACTAACAATCAGAAGTTGAACTATGAGATAAGCAAATGACAGAATGAAATGGCGCAAATGCTTCTACTACTTGATCACTGGCAAAGCTGTTCGACTGCAGTAACAATCTGGGGAGGTTGGACAACAGTCCAGTTCTCTAACGTCCCAGCATACGGAGTTGGCACATCCTGTGATGAGAGACATACAATAGGGGCATCTAAATAGTCATGGAAGTTCTCAGTTATAGCGGCCGTCAAGCTGGCACCAATACCTCCTGTCCGCATACATTCCTCGACGATGAGCACACGGTGAGTCTTCTTCACTGAATTTCCGATGGTGTGAAGGTCAAATGGTTTCAATGACCTGATATCAATGACCTCAGGATCATAACCCTTGTCGACAAGCGTCTTCGCAGCCTGCATCACGTGATACCTCATCCTGGAATAAGTTAAAATGGTAACATGCTCCCCGGGTCGTACCATCTCTGCTTCTTCAAGATTCAACACATACTCTTCATCTGGAATTCTTTCCTTGAGGTTGTAGAGCAAAACATGCTCAAACAGAATCACAGGGTTATCGCTCCTAATAGCTGCCTTCATCAAGCCCTTGGCATTGTAAGGGGTTGAGCAGGCAACCATTTGGATTCCAGGAATTGACTGGAAATACGACTCGAGGCGCTGAGAGTGCTCTGCTCCGAGCTGTCGACCGACTCCACCAGGACCTCGAATGACGACTGGTATCTTAAACTGGCCACCAGATGTGTAGTGAAGCATACCACAGTTGTTAGATATCTGGTTGAAGGCTAGAAGAAGAAATCCCATGTTCATTCCTTCAATAACTGGACGCAGGCCAGTCATTGCAGCTCCAATACCCATACCAGTGAAAGAGTTCTCAGCAATGGGAGTGTCGAGAACCCTGAGATCACCATATTTTGGGGCAAGGCCTTTAGTTACCTTGTACGAACCTCCATAATGACCGACATCTTCACCCATTATACATACAGTGGGATCTCTGTCCATCTCTTCTTCAAGACCTTCACGGAGGGCCTCAAAGAGCAATAGTTCATGCCTAAAGATTGTACATTCAATCACATAAGTGGTGTGATCAAGCAACAAGAAAGCTAGATAAAGAACAATCAGGTAAGTGATAATTGATATAGTTCACACCATGATCGACATTAAAAAATATGAGAAAAGAGTGCATAGCTGACCACTCAACAAAGATCTATTCAGTGACGTAAGTTTAATGATTAAGCAAGCACAGTTATAGAGTTCTTTTAAAACCACAGACAATCTATCCCCAATCATTCGGAAGAGTCCTTCTACATTCAAAGATAATGTTGGTTATGACCACCATCAAAACTAAACGAGATCTATACCCCTCAAACAACCAGATCAGTAACAGGAATTCCACAGCAGGAATTTTATGCATGAGGAAGAGAGAATGAATAAGAGACCTCCTTACTAGCTTCTGGTTGCCTATATCATTCATGTAATTAGAACCTCAGAACCCAACAAATAAGAGAGGAAAAATCAGAAATTCAACAAGTATGAAGTAGGAAAGTAAGCTAAATTTCCTACAAAATATGCCACCTTCCTTTTGAACAGAGTGCATATCCGACCAGCCAAATACATTTCCCCGCACTATACACACACAGAGAGAACACTCTACTCCATCATAGCATCTGTTCGACCTTACACCAAGAAAGCAAACCTCCATCGTGCCTTTTCTCATGATAATTCAAAGTATTTGTTCAACATGGATCATCAACTCTCCATTTTGTTTATGTTTCCATAATTTCTCTGTCTCAAACCTAATTAAGCAGATATTGCATAGATATGAAAATCAGGTAATTCACATACATGATAAATCCAAAGACCAAAATTTTTGAAGTCAAGTCTCAAAATTGAATTGGAAAAATCAGTTTCTCTTCTTAGCGAAGACATTGATATGATGATTCAATAGAAACACTGGTAATTACCAGGTATAGCTATATACAAATGTACTTGCATGAGCTGGAAAAACTATAGTGGTGTTACTTATAAAACTTTGGAAAAGAGGGGTAGTGCATAGACTTAGGGGCATTATTATAGGCATTACAACGGTGACACCAAACCATTTTGGGTTTATTCTGTAAAATAGAGACCACATTTTTGCTAAGAGCATTCATAGAAATTCATAGAGAGGGAGGAAGAAGGATATATTCATCGACATATATTGTAGAGTGCGAAAAAATTGGTTCTATACCTCATGCAAAAGCAGCTCTATGTTGGGGTTATAGGTCAGTGAAAAATTACAATAATAACATTACTAGCTTACATTTAAGAAAACTTTTAAAAAACTGACGTTGGCAAACTCTATTAGCAAGGACCGCAATGAATCCATATAGAGTTGAAGGGAATTTTTCTAGCAATAACAAATAGGAGATGGTGAGATATCAAGAGAGAGAGAGAGTCACAGTTCTCTTCTTTTTGTTTGTGAGTCGCATGACAGGTTCAAGCAGTAAAATGGTGCGCAAGGCAAAATGCATTCCAAGACGTCAGTACAGTTGTACACTTTTGGTAGCTTTTTGGTGTATGTGAAATTAATTAAATGATATGGACACAATCTAAGATTTAATCAGTTCCTTACAAGCTTGAACTAGGAATTGATCTTTCGTATAGCCGTACGGTTTCAGCAACAATCAACATCTTAGGTTTTTTTTTGTCTTGTTTGGATAAGCCAACATCTTAGAGTTGTTTTCCCATCAATAAAATACATGTGATGGCAAAAAAAGAAATTCAAAATTTTGGAGCAAATAAAAGATAAAAAAGTTAAAGTACCACAAGAAAGAAAAGTGAGAATACACACAATTTATAGCTTTAGGGATCGTTCGGTTCACTTACTAGTTATGCAGGAATTACAATTGAGGGTTGTTTATGCGGTGACTAATATGAAGGATTATTATACATGAATTACTTACTTTACAAGGACGTTTAAACAGTTTAATCCTTCCATTGCTAATACACATATTCTTATTCCACATTCTATCCCGCATGTTAACTCGAGTTTTATTTAATACCGCCAACCAAATGCTGTTATGCGGCAATTATTCTTTTCTTATGCAACCAAACTATTAATTATCTTATGCAGAATGTATATCCTATATATGTGGAATTCTATGTTAGGATTAATTGCTCTAATACCACAACCAAACGACCCTTAATAACTCCCTGTTTTTTCAGAAAAGTCCACAGGAGACTTGCTTGGCTAAAAGAAAAGATCCGCTAAAATTGTATCCTTTATCTCTCTATGTACACATACTTTTGGATGGAAACTACACATACTTTTGGATGGAAACAAGGGTTGGGCTTCTAATCGCTACATAGTCCCTTCCTGTCTCTCTTTTCTATTTTTTCCTGATTTATATCCCTCGTACTAATCCAAACACAACCATATCACTCCCACCATCCCTCTCCTTCCTTTTGTTTCCTTTCCGGAACAAAGAGGAGAATTAGACATGTTCATTTCAGGATGAACAGGCATCATCTGAAGTTAAACAGCAACAGCTATTTTTTTTGTTTTCCTTATTTCCTTTTAACAACTCCATCAAGATTAGTACCTCCACCAAAAAAAATA